ACTCACTCACTCACTCACTCACTCAGTCAGTCACTCAGTCAGTCACTCACTCAGTCAGTCACTCACTCACTCACTCCCTCAGTCACTCACTCACTCAGTCAGTCACTCACTCAGTCACTCACTCACTCACTCAGTCAGTCACTCAGTCAGTCACTCACTCAGTCAGTCACTCACTCACTCCCTCAGTCACTCCCTCACTCACTCAGTCACTCACTCACTCAGTCAGTCACTCAGTCAGTCAGTCAGTGACTCAGTCAGTCAGTCAGTGACTCAGCCAGTCAGTCAGTCAGTGACTCAGCCAGTCAGTCAGTCAGTGACTCAGCCTCCCTCCCTCCCTCCGTCACTCACTCACTCAGTCAGTCACTCACTCCCTCCCTCAGTCACTCACTCACTCAGTCAGTCACTCAGTCAGTCAGTCAGTGACTCAGTCAGTCAGTCAGTGACTCAGCCAGTCAGTCAGTCAGTGACTCAGCCAGTCAGTCAGTCAGTGACTCAGCCAGTCAGTCAGTCAGTGACTCAGCCAGTCAGTCAGTCAGTCAGTGACTCGCACAGTCAGTCACTCATTCATTCATTCATTCAGAATTTGTGTCTAGATTGCATTCATTTGAAGCGGGTGCATTTGTTTGCAAGCTGTAGTGTTTGCATTGTGCATGTAGAAAACAACAAGTCACAGACAGGTAGCGTGGTTCAGAGTTTTCGTGAGTTACCATATTAACTGCAGCGCTGGATTGTTTTGAACTTGGGCTTTGCATGTTAAATTAATGCGGTCTGTGGCATTTTGAGACTTTCTCAATTGTCTCTTTCTGCTTCAAGTCACAGTCAAGTGTTACATGATTGACACAGCATGCAGAGCTCTGCTGTATATACAGATGCATCTCAATAAATTAGAATGTCGTGGAAAAGCTCAAAGCGCGTGATTACAGTACTAAGCCGCTGCTCTAATGCTATTAAATTAAAGATTATGTACAACAGAGCAAACAAATGAACAGTGAAAGTAACAAAATCTTGTAAAATACATTTTAATGGGCATAATTAAGTGTGAAAATAACCGAAGGATCAACAAAACAGTCAAACCAAAAATTATTCAGAGACCAGATATAATTTTTTATATTTTTTTACGGGTGGGTGCAGGACACTATAGTTAATTTATGTAAGTGAGGATAGCAAAATAAAGTAAACTGTGACAAATCATACCCAAAAATTCTTCATACAGTAAAATTGATATAAATTTGGGTCCAAAAATTATTCAGACCGAGTCTGGGGAAAACACTGAAGTTAAGGTTTGCATGAAGCTGGGTAACAGCATGCCCAGGAGACTACAGGCTGTCATTAAGGCTAAGGGTTGCCCGACTAAGTATTGATAGTTGTGTAAAAACTGTCATACTAACAGCTGTCTGATTTTTGGTTGATTGTAATCCATTACATACCTTTCTATCAAAGTTATCTAGCATTATCAAGCTGAATTTGTTCTGATACAGTTTAACTCTTGAGTTCTTGTCATATTTTATTACCATGTTCTAAACTGTAGCGAATAAACTGTGATAATGTGAGAAATGTTGAAGGTGTCTGAATAAATTTTGGTTTGACTGTGTAGGAAACTTTTTCCTCGTCGAAGCAGAAAACCAGGAGATGTTGGGATATCTTTCATACAGAAGTCACTCTAAATTGAGGACTCGCTGTGCGTCGCTGCAGTCATCCAAGTCTGACTATAGCTCGGCACAGTAGAGTTTATATACATTTTAAGGGGGCGGGATTCATTCAGTGGAGGTGGAGACAATCTAAACAAAGCATGCAAATGCAATACAGGAATCAGCCCGTTACCGGAATTTCTCCAGCCCTGATCTCATCAGCATAACAGTGTCATTCAAATGCATAGGTGCTAATCCAATCAGTCTGACAGTCCTAATACAATCAGCATAACTACTCAAAGACTGGGGCAGAGGCACCAAGAGCCATTACAAACAAAAGGTGATCGTCTCAGTAATCTGGTTCATTTTACTAACAATAAGAGAACAGGAACAGACAGGAACCTCTTGCCACACCTTGCTTAAGACAATCATTTGTCCGATGCAATTCTTAAATTTGTAATCCCACAACTGTATCTATTTGATAAATGAAGTTAACCAACTAACATTATACATACCCGTTTGGTTTCTGTACCCAATATTTAAAAAATGTACAAATGCAATAAAAACATCGGTATCGGTACTCGGTATCGGCAAGTACCAAAAATAAAAGTATCGGTATCGGGCAAGTACTGGAAAAAGTGGTATCGGTGCATCCCTACTTAAAACAATAACATCCATGCAATTTTCAGTCCATTCTTACGGACTCAATCAGTTGCATATGACATGTTAAGAAAATGTAACTTTTACGTTTTTTAAACAAAGAAAATGTGCAATAATATCTAGAAATTATACCGTTATAATATTTTATATATTAGCATACACTAGTGTTCAGGGTCAGTAAGATGTGTAATATTTTGGAGGTCTTTATAACAGTATAGTATATATAATATCACCAATAATATATAATATCACTCTTTTTCTCCCAATCATGTTTTATTAAGATGATATTTAAATGCTTAGTTTTATGATCAATGCTCTGTATAGTTTTGAAACATCTAAAGCAATGACGATTGAGAAATTAACAAATAAACATTCTTTAAAAGCCTGACTGATCATATTTGATATTTTGATTTGGAATAATTTTAACATAATTTTGAAATAGGCGTTGTGTGTGTGTGTGTGTGTGTATTGTGTGTGTATATGTAGTGTATGTATTGTGTATTGTGTGTGTATATGTAGTGTATGTATTGTGTGTGTGTGTGTGTATGTAGTGTATGTATTGTGTGTGTGTGTATGTAGTGTATGTATTGTGTGTGTGTATATGTAGTATATGTATTGTGTGTGTGTGTGTGTGTGTGTATATATGTAGTGTATGTATTGTGTGTGTGTGTGTGTATGTAGTGTATGTATATGTAGTGTGTGTGTGTGTGTGTGTGTGTGTATGTAGTGTATGTATTGTGTGTGTGTGTATGTAGTGTATGTATTGTGTGTGTGTGTAGTGTATGTATTGTGTGTGTGTATATGTAGTGTATGTATT